GAGCCAAATTCTTCCTAGCCCTTGAAAAACATGAAGATTCCTGTTAGGGCAACACTGGAAAACCTGAAATGAAACTGCCTGTTGGCACCTCTGTTAATGAATCCTTTTTTAGAGGTCAGAGCACAATAGAAAAGTAAAAGTGATTCTGTTCATATTAAATTATATGAGCAACAAAAACAGAAATATAGGCACAGAAGAAAGAAATTTGTATATGAATGCAAAATTTCTAAAATATACACTGATCAATTAAAGATTACATACTACTATCATACAAAGTTACTGCTTTTTTGAAAGAGTCTGATAGCTTCTACTTTAATCTTTTACAGCTATGTTCCCTTTTCCCTCTGAAAATATATACACAATCCTGATTTGGGGAATTGAACTGCAAAATAAAGCCATAATAGCAATGGTTTTAGGAGTTGATGGCCAATGGCAAACAGCTTCTTTCTCCATCCTCCAAAAGCTCTGAGAGCTCCAATACCTTTTGACAGCAGATCCTACTGCAGAAAGAGTAATGGATTCTATAAAGAGGCTTCATAATTCCTCAATATTAGATTGCTGAAAATTGAATTGAGGTATAAAATGTGAAATGAAATTAATCCAAAACACCTGATGAAAAAAAAAGTCTGCCTTTAATTTATTCTAAGCAGTCAGAAACAAAACAAGGTGGCCAATACTGTTCTACCTCATGGGAAAGCTTATACCACATGATAATCTCCTCCCAAGAAAGTGGTGCAAACACATTTTTATCCCCAGCACTTACATTTTACAAAGAGGCTCCAGATGAAAAGCCTGAATTCCATGAGGTAGTGCTCAAAATAATTTACTGTCTGTTGAAGCTCATCAGTTCGCTCTAAGATATTGTGCAAGCTTAAGTGTGGGGGAAAAAAAAAGATAAATTTCATGTGTACATTTTGCACAACGTTTCTTGTACCCAAGTTAAATTCCCACCCATGTGCTCAAAAATGTTGACATAAGCTGAGGAACTATGGTTTCTGTGATTCTCAGATTTCACATGTTGAAATCTAAAGTAATACTGCCCTCAGACTTAGCTTGAGGATCCTTAAGACAGTATTGGATTCTGCAGTATATAAGTTTGCTACCTTGTAATTACCACAATATGCAACAGACATATTAATCATTTGAAAAACAAATGTCTATAATTTGAGAATAGTTTACTGCATAATGTTCTATGTCACACTATTTGTGGTGTATTTTTAAATTTAAAATCACAACAAGAGTTATTCTAGCTTGGATAAAAACTTTATTACAGATAAGAAAAAAAAAAATTTATTGCGTCTTTTTACATACTTCTAGATTCTTCTGTCAATAGGGACTATCTGAGCTTGTAAGTCAATGGGTATGAGAGTACACTTACAACATCAGAACTGAGTCCAGTAAGTTGTATTGGATAGACAAACTTTCCACAAAAATGTTCCATCCTAATTTGAAAGCATCAGAGAAGAATGGAGAAGCACCGAGAATGGAGAAACCACAATTACCTTTGCTACCTACTTTCAGTGGTTAACTAGCCTCATTAGGAATAGTTTGGAATTTACTTCTAATTTTAATTTCTTATCTGTTTTTAATTGTCAGAACTCTTTTTCTTGCTGGCTTTAGGAGCCACTTCCTAACATTTTCTCTTTTTAAAGCCATGTATTGACTACAGTTAAGTTGTATCTTGGCATTCTATATTCTTTATGCTTACATGCATATACATAGGCTTACCTTCATACGAAAAAATACCAAAGAGAATTTTCCAGGCTGTATCTACTATAAAAAATTAAGAAACTGTGGTGGACTTGAAAAAGAATAAATAATAAGTGAGATCCATATCAAAATTAAACAAGATCCAGACAAGGCCAAGAGTGAGCAAAACCTAGATAGATATACTTTTCTAACACTATAAGTTTAGCCTGTTACCTAAGCACAGATTAGGGAGATGGATTTTTGAAAGCACATTGATGCTGTAATGAGATGAATATTTTGAATTTGTTTGGGTGTTTCAGAAATTCTGCACCCATACAAGATTAAGGCATCCATTTTTAAGATATAGGCCTGAAGCAATGAAGAAAGAGCATCACTAAATAACTAAATACAGAACGTTCTGCTGTCTCATATCACTCAAGTAGGAAAGATAACAAAGAAATTGCTATACATTTACTAGAAATCAGGACAATGAGAATTTGTGCCTCATATGGAAAGCAAAATATTCTGTACATGTTTCATGTAGAAAACAATTAGACTAGTCAGACATACCCTGGCTGTTAATATCTGGTTGCAGGAATATCCTCAGCAATTCAGAAAGTTTGAAATCCCAGGTAAACTTTATCCTTCCTAGAACTGCTTAAGACTCTTAATTATTTTTCTCTCTGCTTTCTGAGTATTCCACTGTACTTTCATTTTCCATATGTACAGAAACTACAGTTTCTGTTTTGTTGAAAAAAACTATATTCAAACTACACAACTTACAATTCTAAAATAAAGCACATGGTAAAACACGTGAGTCATGGCAAAATACGTGGATAGTTTTCATAAATTAATATGAACACCATGAAAATATAATTTTTACTGACAAAATACCTCAAATGCTAAAAGGTCTTTCATTTTACTATCAGTAAGCAATAACGTTGTAAATAAGTTAAAGAGCATTTCACAGATTAGAGAGTTACTAATCTAAATTAAGTTTTTCCTAATCATCCAGTTTATAAATTAGCAACACATACCATTTTTACGTGCAGTAAGCACCCACTGAGTAAAAAGGGTTTTAATACTGCTTTTCTTAACAGATTTTGAGAAACTTGGCAATAATAGGAGAGTAAAAAACATATATTCTTCATAGCATACAAGTATTTTAAATGAAGTAGCTTTGAAAAATAGTAACTGTGTAGCTATGGTTGCTTGGCTTTATTTACTCCATTCTTTTACTTCCTTGACAGCAGTGTAATCACGTACCTTGTACAAGTCGTCTGTTCCCTTCCATCTCTTTACTTTCATCCTTTTGCTTTCTCTCCTCTTTTTCTTCCCCTCTAAACTAGAAAACTGAGGGTAAAATGAGGCACCAATCTAAATTTAAGTTTCAAACATTATTTCTGGTGACACTTGCTGACGTCAAGATGAGTCGTCTTGTTGGCTGTTTGTTACGTCTGTAGACCCTAAATATGTTATAATTTAACAGCTTACATAGATACATAATATCTGTTAATATCTCTTCATTAAACCAATAGTTTAGTTGAGGTCAGCACATGTACTGTTTGTCACAGTCTGATGACACCTCTCGGCAGCACTAGTGTCAGTGTGGTATTTAGGGGGTGAGTCAGATATTTAGCTGATGAATTCCATACAAAAATGTCCAAATTTTCAGTAACAGAATTAATTAAATAGTCTAGATGTACTTTTTTCTACATCACTTAAAAACAGTAAAATCAATAGTACTGTTAATAGATAATGAAGTTGTAATCTAAATCTCTATTTTAAGAGTGAAGTTGGTATAAATGTGAATAAGGAAGAAACAGTATATCTGTGCAGTGTAAATTTTGGAGATTTCTGAACAATAGCCTGTGTTCTCAATATGTTGGCAAATTTATAATCTGAAAACAAAAAGAAGAATTATACATCTAATCAAGGAACACTTTACATCAAAAATTTTAATTTTAATCCCTTTTTATATACATTTTTCAATTCTGCAAACTGAAAAAATCACTTTGAACTGAAAAATGAAATTTCACAGAGAGAGATTTTGAAACAGGATATTTCAAGAACTTAAAAATGCTTTCCACAGTATATTTTTAATAAGAATTTGCAACATCAGTCCTTATTTCACAAACAGTACTACTCTTATTTATTGGTATTGGATAAAACGTGTCAATGAAAAAATCCCAATCAACCAAATGTCAATATACATTCTCTTTGGGACAGATAAAAAACAATAGCAAAACTCAATAGTTATTTGCTTAAAAGATCATCAGAATTGCCTTGCTTGCAGTTCTTTGGTTTTTATAAGCGTTATTGCTCCTGTTAGCACTGATAATATGGAAATAAATGTACTTCACCTACTTGGTGGAAGACAAAATTGAAATCTTTGGAGTATATTTTTCTTCAGTGGGAATAGCGGAGCTAAAACTTAGTTTATTTTTGTTGGTGTGCTATTGACTGTTTCCATAAAAATGACACTAGCACATCTCAGGTATATTTGTAGCAGCTAGAAACTCCAAAACATTCAGAACAACCTTGCTTCCCCTATTTTTGTCTATTGAGGACTGATAGAGTCATTTAAGAAACCTGCAGTATATGAAGTTTTCCAGCTACAGTCATGAATGGGAGGTAAATTCCACAACTGTTGTCTTCTTTAACAAGTGTTCATTTCTAGTGATGAATAATTTGTTTAATGGGCATACTTTCCATCTATTAAGTCAAAGGGCTAATGCCTTCCCATCTTTTTTTCTTTTCAATTTTTTTTTTTAATTTAATATCTCTTCCTAAACCATTTCAGTTATCATTATCATAAAGAAGGCAGTTTCTCTTTATGGTCAGCAAGCAGAAGAACATTTTCTCCAGTTTGTTGTCCTGTTTTTACATTAAATTAACTCATGCTTCAGGACTTTTCCTTCCAAGAATCTTCAAGTAACAGTGGATACTTGGTAGATTTTTTTCAGGCTCTGCTACTTTACAAGCAATGATTACAATGCCGCAGGATGACAGCTCATATTTCTTCCTCAAGTTTTACTTATTAAATTTATTTATCGACATAGATAGATATTTCTATGCTGGATACATTCTTCATAAAATTATAGCAGGACAAGACCGGGCATTTTAGAGTGACTTATTCATTGTTTAAAAGAAAGCTTTCAATAGAATTGAAAGATTAAGATTTAATGACAAATATATAACTTCATGGAAACATATTTTAGTTCAATTAATAACGATGAGTAAAAACATTATTTTATGGAACTGGTAGTTTCAACAAACACTGAAATAAAAATATACTTTTTAATCTCTTTTTTCTTTTTTTTTTTTTTTTGGAGTTCAGAATATAGGACAGGTTAAAACAAACAAAAAAATAATGAATCAGTTACACCATCGATCATACAGATAAAGAATTTGAAGCTATTCCTTTCCATGTGCAAAATATTGCTTTCATTTCAATGTGTGGCATAAGTTGAGGTCTCTATAAAAATATTTATAGTAAAATACAGAGTAAATCTATAATTACAATTAATCAGTTATAGAAAGATGCATCCAGTACTCAGACACTGTAATATTACTTACAGTTAGTCTATTTTACCTCAGTTACTGCAGAAGTAACAAAAAAATATGGTATAACAGTGCTTTGTGAGCCAAACAGCATATTTGCTCTAATCTACACAAAGCCCTGTAAATAACCTACAAGTTCTTAGTCATTATCTAATCTTGTATCCAAATTTTTCATTTAAACTCTTTCATTTTACTGCATTACACATAGAGTCCTTTAAATAACCATAAACAACTAGATTCCTTACAACGTAAGGAAGAACTACAGAAAATCATTCTGAATTCCCATGTAAAAAATTTTCTTAGAATTCCTTCTACTTTATGTACAAACTCCTTTGAAGGAACTGAAAAACATTTAGTAGATTGTCTTGGAATAGATCAGCAAAGCAGAATTCAATAACAAACATAAGGTGCTCTCTGAGCCATAGGCATAATAAAGCGTCTTGAAAGGTATTACGACACACTATCATTTTCATCTTTCTCCTTTCAGTTGGCATTCACATTGGCTTCTTTTTGACGTAGTCTCTCTTTCTGTTGTTAAAAATAGAAAGAACTTTATTATCATTCTTTCCTCTAATTTTCTGTCTGCTCTCAAGTTGCCTTAAGTATGTTGTCTACAATACTGAGAGGTACTAAATGAGTCAGCAGATCAGAGTTTTGCTTAATTAAAAAGAAACAATCAAACAAAAAACTCCTGGAGCACTCAAGGAAGGCTCACAGTGAGTTCACTAGTTACTTTAGCGAAGCTGAGCTTGCTTTAGCTACACACTTGTCAAATACTGTGTGCCTTTAAAAATAGCCAGATGAATGAGCAGCTCTGTAAAGATCAGTGCAGTGAGAGTAAACAAGATACATTTCTCAGTTTAATACCTTCTTTTGTCCAGAATGGTTTTTGCTGACATAAATACTCCAATTTAGCATTAGGTAGATTATGTTGTCTAACGACCCTTTCCCAAGCAATTTTAGTAGTTTTTATCTCTGCTGCCTATCCTGCAACTGATATGCTCTGTTGGGAATGGAAATAACTGACTTCCTTCATGTATATTTCCCTCCCATATTCTCTTGCATCCCACAGTTTGAGAAATTCTTTGCCTTGCACAAAGATAAAAACCAGTTTTGTCTACAGTGTAAATTATTACTCCTCTCTCTATGTCCTATAAAAAAGAAACTGGGAAACACTAATGACAAAATAAGGATTTGAACCCTTCTACCACTATTCAACAGAGTAAACAACATTTTGAAAGGTTTTAGAGAAAGAAGATACTCTCTCATTTTTAAAATGTGTGCAGCGAGCAGTAAATAGCATGAAAGAAAATACAAGAGACTTAGCAGCAAGGGGGAAGAAACCAGAAAAGGTCTAATTATGTTTTGTTCTCTAGAATAGCAGAGCCATACTTAGGCACAACTAAATTAAGCTTTAACCTTCACTATTAGACTACTGTAGGGCATAAGCTTTGCAATTTTCCTTTGGGAAGAATAATAACCTGCTACATTCAAACTGACTAAGAACTCTGCTTACAACAAAAACCCACCATCATCCTGAATGACAAGAACAGTGTCACAAAAATATTCTAAATGTCATGCTGAGAAAGAAATCATACCAGGCTAGCCGTAGGATTGATTTTCTTTGTTTCAACTTTCTTCTCGGCAGTTAACTTGCTTACTGATTGCTGAGCCACTTTAATTCTGAAACAAAATATACACAAAAGGCATTGTTAGATTCAAAGAAATTCAAACTGCTCTAGATCTGCTTAATATATATTTTACCTGTAAAAAGTACCATCACCAACCTTTTTAGACACAAAAAAGACCAAACAGAATACTAATTAGTATTCAAAGGCACTTCATAAAGTACCAGAATAGATTAGAATGCATTTTTACTGAAGAGAAAAGCAAAAGCAAAAGCATGAGATTTTCAGTGTATAATGCAGGCAAACTATCTCTCCCTTCTTGTAGGATCAGGATTGTATGGAACCAAAACAGCTGCAGTAGGAAGGCAAAAAGATACTTAACAAAACATCCACAAGCCAGCTGGCTAGATCTTTCATATATATAGGATACAATATTTTAGCAAGACATTTGCTTGGTTATCCTCTTAATTTCCTCTGAAGATCTTGAAATGAAAGCATCTGCCATTTTTTATCTTAATGTTTTCCTTGTTGCTTTACATGGAATTGACAGGCCAATCTCACTGATGTGGTGATAGAGAGATACAAATCAGAAGAAGTTCTTGTGCACAGATAGTTAAGGCAGCCTTGTGCACAACTACACACCAGTCTACTAAAAGCACTACTGAGATAAGGGGAGATCTGACTCCATTGTTTCTATTCTTGCCTTTTGATCTTATTGTAGTGCAGATCCTAAACCCTGTGTTTCTGTGAGAATTTATTGAGAAGAACACAATCAGAAGTTTTATCAAGAGGGAAAGGAGAAAAGGACTTGACTCTCCTCTTTCAGACAGAGGAAAAGGCAGGGGAAATTATGTGCTAAATAGTGATAAAAAGGAAACAAAATTCTCCGTCTGCTGGAGACAGGATCTGGCCAGCTATCTGCCTTTAAAATGCTGATGCTACAGACACCTACTTTACAACTCAATATGCAATATGCAGAGGGAAAAAAAATTGCAAGTGAGTTTTTACAAGCAAAAACTCAGCAACCCAGTTTTCACTACTACACACAAGATCAGCCTTTTACTATAAACACATTTCTTGGCACTCAGGAACTGAAAAATTGTATTTTCTTCTCTTATTTAATTTTTTCCACTAGTAGAAATAATTGTTATGGCCGGTCAAAAAGTATGAAAAAATACCACGTCCAGTTCAAACCACTTTTGACACGCTCAATTTTTGAGGAATTTTGGAAGAAAAGCAGAAAGGAAAGTGGATTATAGCTGCAATTACTGATGTGTATTTCCTTGTTGTAACATTATCAGCATACCCAATTCTGGACATCTTTTTAAAAATACAGAACACATTCATAAATTCCTCATTGTGTTTATCAACATTCAGTGTTGGAAAATAACATTCCTTGTTGTAATTCCTAGCTGCATGTACTATCTCAAATACACCAAGATGAAGTTACTATTCTATACATTTTAAAACTTATCTGTAGCCTTGCTAAAACTTAACTAGCTTTCTCTGTGTCAAGCTAGCAACTAAGCTGTAACATACAACTCCATTCTTTTACAGTTTTTTGTTAATCAGTACATTTTTGCTTCTTTTTCATAGATGACAGCAGCCACTGAACAGCATGCTATTCCTCACAGCTGCAGAGGTTTATGCAAAGATGATAATGCATTTTAGGTGTGTGTAAACACGTTCAGCACAATCAAATGGAGGTATGAATTTCTAAACTTTTACCTGTTTCAATCATGTTTTCTTTCCTATCACATTCTCTTTGGTCCTAGGACAGTTTTCTGAGCTGCTTTTAAATGTTTTGAGTCCACATTTTCAACTGAAAGGTGAATTCTAGAGATTATACATTCTTGGTCTTGAAAAGAAAATTATTCGTGTTGCTGATTTAGTTGTAACTCTGTGTTTTATTCTATATTTGCACTATATTCAAGAAATCTGGAATTTTTTACATGGAATGAATAGTTTAGAATAGGGAATAAAAATAAACCAGCTCACTAAAATTATCTGAATCGTTCGATATTTGGTTCAGAGAGACATTATGAATAACACATTGTTCTTTTAGGGAAAAATCACTTTATCAACAAATGACTGATAAGATTAGGAGGAATTCACAGAAAGTTAAGTACATAATTTTAGATGAATATAATTTCCTGGGATTTTTTAAAGTCAATTATTGGCAAAGCGGTTAGCTCAGTAATTACATCACTGAAGCATCCACACTGTAAACTTGCCTAATAAATAGTTCTTTTCTTTGTTAAACATGGTTAGGGTGCTAGAACTGGCTACTGTACATGCAAGCACTATTGTTGAAATGAGAAAAACAAAATAGTATGAAAACCATCCAAATTTAAAATCATAAATTTGCCTGGTGGCGGTAGATTAATTTGTGTGTTCCTTTCCATTATTTCAGGCTCACTGGCCTGCAGTTCTCTGGGTCTTCATTTCCCCCTTTCTTGAAAATGAGAGTGCTGTTTCCCTTTTTCCAGTCTCTAGGGACTTCGCCTAACTAAAAAGCCATGACTTTTAGAAGCTTGGGACCGCACAATTCAAGGGGCAGAGCAGTCTAAGAACGACTAATTATAAACTTGGAAAAATATTTTTTGCAGAGGAAACAGCAATGGCTTGTCTTTACAGAAAACAGCTAAAGACTTACTTCTGACAGGGTCACCTCGGGGAAGGCCTGCTTTTCTTTTTCCTGCGTGTTTTATAATCTCAGCAGAGGAGGCAATAGATATTCCTCACACGTTGTGTTTTGGGCAGCGTTAATCAGTGAATGTCACAGCTCAGGTCTATTTACCATACCAAGACATTAAACACCAATAGTTCTGGTGTCAGTGTGTTTCAGTGGAGAAAAAAGAAGATTTAAGGAATGAAAGTCAATTAAGCTTTGAAATCTGATCAACCACAACACGGTTATGTTCAAAAGAAACATTATTCTCATTCAGTGGTGAGCAAAAGAGGTCAATATATCCTGATGAATAAAGAAGATGCGATGTCAACTGCAATGCTGAGCAGTATAGCACAGTATCACACAATATGGAAAAGAAAACTGAATGAAGTAAACAAAGAAACGTATTTTTAATTGGGAGACTCATGACTCCAATATTGTATTTGAATCTTTACTATAATCAGAGGGAATATAATTTGCTTTTTTCCTGCCTCGATGTGACAGGTGTTGGCTTTCCCTCTAAACGAGATCCAAGTCATGCCTCTTAAATTGGACCATATTAGCGAAAAATATAAGCATCATTTTTATTTTTAATTTATAACTCCAACACAGAAATTCAGCTAGAATATATGCTTGCATTTAATAAAGTTTTCATCGTAAGCCAGGTACTCAGCAGATAAACTCTTGCCACGTTCACTCATGCTTCCCACCCAGCCAAGCAGAAGGCGTGAGCTGGTTCATTCTGCACTTGAAAGCAGTTAGGATACAAAAACTCCCGTCTGAGCAAGCTACTCATGAATGTTCAGGTCTCACTGGTGTGCGAAGACAGACAATTATTTGGTAAAGTCCTTGCTTAGCATCACAATAGCCTTATAAAAGACCTTGAAGTTTGAAACACTTCTATCATTATATTGTACAATAGAATTGGCTAGTCAAGCCTCCTGTCAAGTCTTCTAAAAAGAACTTGATCATTATTTATCAAATCTTTAAATTGTATATAGAATAAATATTCATTTATATACATTTTTCTATGTTTGTCTGATGTAGTTATCAGTGGAATTTCTCTCCAAATCTCAAAATGCTAATACACTTAGTTTGCTTTTACTTTTTTTCTGGATTTATTGATTATCTGTTTGAAGGTGATGAATTTTATCACTGTAGTCACAAGAAAAAAAATAACTTTATGCCTTTATCAAAGCTGGTGCTTAAGAAAAGAACTGTAAGTCCCAAAAAAGCTACATCAGCCTAGACTAGAAATATGCTTCAGTCCAGCTGAGCTGGATACCACTAGATACTAAGGAACATCTAAGGACAGCCAAAGCATTCAGTAGCAATCCCCACAATGCTCTCCCAGCAGGAAACTCTCTATGAACAGTTCTTCATATTCTAATATGGATTTGCACCATCATCATTCAGAAACAATGCAAACTTTTGGCACCTGGGACATCTGGTGGAAAGGTATTCAACCAATTAAGTATGGCTACCGTAAGCAATTGTACTTGGCTTGTGCCAGTCACTTGCTAATTTCACTTGATATTGTGTTAAATGAGGTATGTAACAACTGTTTCCCATTCAGTCTTCATGCTTTTAAGTTCTCTACTGTATCTTTTTCATTAGGTTCTGAGCAGCTTAGCATATATATCACATACTACATATGATACAGTGAGAGAAATTCACATTTAAAGTCAAGCTATAAAATAAATCTGGCCTTTGAAAACTGTTATAATGTCTTGAACTAAAGATTATTTTTCCTCATTGCTCACTGCAATATTGAAAACTGCTTCCTCTGTGGCAAGTGCTCCTGCCAAATTTCAGTTGTTAGGTGCAAGTGAGCCTCACAGATTAGCTTAATTGATGGTTAGACCAATAATGTGCACCAAAAATGAAAGAGGTAGAAAGCTATAGCCAACTCCAGCTTACTAGAGTAAACAAAAATTTACTGGGCACCTTCACTGCCCTTTTTATTGTTCAGACAACTACCACCATTGCTACTCACACTCTTACATTCAGAGCTTCAGCATTTTAAACCTGTGATTCATTGCTTTTGTGCACCCCAAAAAAACAATCACTATTGCTCTTTTCACAAGATAAAGGTGATACCATCAATGTGTTTTGTGCTAGTGATAACATTGAAGAACAAAAAAGCATTAAAAAAGGGACCTTCTAAAAGCAGGAAGCACCCTATTTTTAAGATGAGACGTATTTCTGTTTATCAAATGACTGTGTCTTCTCTAGACATTGAGACAAACCTTTTTTGTTTTCTGATTTCTGTTACCTAGCTGTGCAATTTGTATGTGTATTCTATCTAAAAGAAATGATAGACTTTCTTGTGGTCACTGTTGCTACAATCTTATGTTTGTAGTGGAAGCAGTGAGAAACATTAACAGCAATAATTGCATTCCTATATGGTTGCTTCATATGTAAAGCATAAGAACATGATAATCCTCATCACACTTCTTTTGCAAAGCATATGATTACATTCTGTGATTTTCTATTCATCACTGCAAACTACTTGTTTTTTTTTTTTTAAATATATATGCTTATATTTTTTCCTCATACTCAGACTTGACTAGAATATTATGTTAAAATACACTTCAATAGATCTTGAATGCTTTAACGGACTTATGGGCAGATATTCACATATTAATACACATTTATTTTGATTCTGAACGCATAGACATTCTAACTGAAAATAAAATTGAATTAAAAAAAGGAAAAGAGACTTGTAGATATGCAATTTGCCACAGTATAAAAGGGCAGAACTTTGTTCTGGACTTCAGTTTTGTTAGCATCCCAAAATCTCAAAAATAATAAGAAGAAAGCAAAAAAAGGCAGTTGATGTACCTGGATGCACAATCAAAAAGTTTCTTCATTTTATCTTTATAGTCATTTATTTGTTGTATTTATCTAGGTTTGTTACCTATTTGTAATTCTGTCTTGTTTTTTGTTTTTTGGGGTTTTTTTTGTTTTGTTTTTGTTTTGTTTTGTTTTGTTTTGTTTTTAATGGTGTTCAAATTTTGTCCAGGAAAGAGACAACGATTCAACAATATTTTGCAGGCAGCTGATTTATTTTCATGGTGAGTTAAGTGCCAGGCAGCTCTGTTAAAGTGTTTCCTTTACTTCATGAAAAAGCATTAATCTAATTAGATTTCTACAGTTGTGTTACATTTAGGAGACAAGTAGATGTTAGACAAAACAGGCTCCCGCAGCTGAGGCTGTCATTTTGTTACAGGGGATATCCTTTCTCCCAGAAATTCAGAGATTTTATAGTTTCTCTTATGCAACACAAACTAGCTCGTTTTGAGTATAAAAATTTAATTTTCCACTTTAAATATTTTGACCCAGTTCACTACTATTAATTTTAAGGCAATACATTTTTAAGAATGTATTTGGCATGGCATATTACTGATAATTCTGCATATTATAATTAAATTTAGAATTTTCTGAGCCATACTTTATGAATGAGAAATCATAATCCAATATTGACATTCCCCTATAAATGTAAACAAATCCATATTTAGGTATCTACATGACTAGATTAATTTAGATACATTTTATACTTCTGCAGCTCCTCCTGAAATTTGAAGGGTAAGGTAATAGTAAAAGTGTTTACATAAGAATATCAATGTCTCAGTTTCAGAGCCCAACAATGAAAATACTGACTTATGATACCAATTTTTCCTCTTTAAATTTTTTTTAGAACAAAAGAACTCATTGTTGATGAACATGATCTTTTTTTTTTTTTTCTTTTTAATTACCATCTCTAGAAATGCAAAACAAAGAGTGCATCAAATTAATTAGCCAGTTATGGAAGACAGCTGTCCATTCCTGTCATACTGAGGTTTTTAGTTACCAATGTGCAGAATGAGCTTTCTTTCAAAATTTCTTGGGCATCAGTTCATCAACTATTAGTCTCACACTTTGTAAAACAAAACCTTAGAAGGTCGGGAATTCACAGGACATTTTCAGATGAGTGAAATAGTTCTCCCATCATTTAAATTTACTGATTTCATGAGGTTCTTCTTTTCAGTAGCACATTACAAAACAATTTAGGATGATGAAAACAGCTCTTCTGTCATTCTAATTTACTTATTACACAAAGATCCTCATTTCAGCACCTCATAGTCTTGATGAATCACCTAGATTTTTAATGTAAACAACAACGAATTGTTCTTTTGAGATTAATGAAACTTTAAAAAAAATCAAACTCTGAAAAAGTCTATAATCCAGAAATAAGCACTTTGAAGAAATATTCTAACAAGTGGCATTGCTTTACATTCATGAATAAGAATAAAAATATGTATTAAAGGAACTGATGAAATATTTGCAATCTATTTTTACTATTACATTTTATTTACATTATTATTAAACAGTAATTCTCATCTCATTCCAGCAAGAAAACACAGAATACAGCAGTTTACTCAACAAAGATTTCTTGAACGTGGTTTTAAGAAACTTTGAGGGTTTTTTTTCTTTCTTTCTTTTTTTTTTTTTTTTTTTTTTTAAGATTTCTAATGTATTAATCAAACATTATATTAATCAACAACTTAAATCAATTGCTCTGAAGGGATCACTGTATCCCATCAGCAAAGCACTAACTACGTACAAAGGAATAGATGTACGCTCTGGATGAATTTTTTCTCTGACCTGAAGTTTATCCATGATACGATCCCTAGATGATTAGAGCAATCTTCTCAGTGGCTAATAATTTTACATGTTTTTTATTTTGGAAAACTATTTGAATATTGACTTAGAGAAAAAGAATTAAAAGATTCTGACAGTGTTCACAGTTCACAGCTTCTAAAATCAATTTAACTATTATACAGATTATACCAACACCTACAACTTTCAAGAGTTTAAAACCTGTAAAACAATGTACATTAGACTGACAATCAGGAATTTATATTTTCTCCATTTTGTCCTTTAAAAATCTATTTACAGGATTCAAAGATCCCCACTGATTTAAAGCAAAAAAGGCAAGTGTAAGTGCTAAGATCTTTTAGGAAATCTTTTCTTTACATCTGTATCACTTCAGAATATACACCTGGGTTTGTATTTCGTGCTTAAAGTGATTAGTCCATTCTTTTCCAAAGCATGATCACAATACTACCTTTTAGGTCTTTCCAAATGAATTGAGATATGATTAACATGGCATTTACTCACTCATAGTATAGATATCTTTGGAAAAGATTTTTAGCTTCTTTAAGAAAAGTGTGCAAATAATTGAAGGATTTATATTTTATTTTTTTACTCTAACTAATAAAATAAGTTGACTGCGGTGAGATCCAGCGGTAAGTAGTTTGAAGTCCTCAGCAGGACACCAAGAGTCAGAAGTGGTGCTGTAAATTCAGTGTTGGGCTTCAACACAGTGCTAAGTGTGGCCTGAATCTCTGGGGCTTCCCTTTGATGCAAGTGCAGTATATTAACTGGAAAAGCATTCACTTTTATTTGTCTGTACTGTCTGCGACAGCAATATCGCCTCATTTAGGCTAGTTCAACATGAAAATGCACAGAGAAGCAATCTGTTACAAATTAGCACAGCTCCCCTTTCATTTTACTAGCTAGTAATTGGAAGGGGTTACAAAAGTGTAATTTATCAGATTATATGTGTTTATCTTTTTGTGGGGACAGCATGCCTTTGGTGAATTTTCCTACGCACCCTGAGGGAATAATCTTTCCTTGATGTCCATTAGATCTGAAAGAAAACAATGACGCCTGTGAAATATAGGAGTATAATTTGTTAGGTTTGAGAAGGAACAGTTTCCCAGACATCTAAAATAGTATTAATGACTTTATTAGAACCTTACCGCTCCTTGGAAATGCTTTTGCTCTCTCGTTTCCAAATGGTCTTGAAGTCACTGCAGAATTCGTACCACACCGTGAAAACATAGTTTGGTGTGATCTCCTTCTCACCAGGCTTTGGCTTTATCCCAAAGTATCCCACTGTTTCTTCAAAGCTAGGAGGGGAAGAAAAAGAAACTGTCAACAGTAAGCCTACGGGGGAAAGTTTGTCTGAGGGCTGATTCCTGATTTGGTAGTCAAGGCTGGCAGTTACCATAACTTCCCCTTAGCCTTGGAAATCATAGCAGCAATTCATGCTGGGTGTAACTATCCTTCCAATATCTACCTCATTCTCAGGAGGTCAGCTTATAGATGCATGAACCGCCACAGAGATATGTCACACAGTCAAATCATGGGCTCAATTTCTTGTATTACAGGAAATGTTATATTCTACCTAAGTCTTTAATATTATTCACAATGTGCCACTGAGACCTTATTTTGCCATTTCTCTTTATAGAAAGACTACAGAAGAGTCATGTGCCAAGTGAGGAAAAAACCTCCAGCTCTGGTTAAAAATAACTTTCAAATAGTTAGAGATTTTACAGAAAATAAATTGTCTCCTTCCCAGTGTGTCCATAAGCAGATAACAGCAATTAATTTTATGAAAAAAAAGAACATTATCAATATGGTAATGTACTTTTATTTTATAATGCAGCTACAGAATTGTTATGCAACTAAATATTTTCATTTTCATATTTTTATTACAGAAGATACTTTTGACAATATTTTAACTGATTGTGCTTATTTAACCTTTATGATATTGCTTTGTGCAGATAAAATGAAACAGTTCACATTACTAATAATAGTACATGGAGGTTGATCTAAATGAACCAAAGTAGTATGTTCACTTTCGTAGAGGTTGAATCACTTCTTTCTGCAAAGCATAGGTCACAGAGCAGTAAGATTTGGTGATAGTTATTAAAAGTAACATGTATTTTTCACAGTCTAAAGAAAGATCAGTGGTAATTTGTACTTTACATTGCTTTTTTTGAGCCCAGAAAGACTCCTCCTTACTTGGACATCCAGGTTGGTCTTTCTGCACAGTCAGAAAAAGAGATAGAAAACTCCCAAATATCTCTCAAGACAATCAGTGTCTCAGGTGAACCGTTCCCATTTGCTGCAGAAGGGGCAGAAAATTAGCTCAACAGTTGACTAGCAGCTGGCTGACCTGCTTAATTTCTACTTATTGACAAACTTTCCTTCTGTAGCACAGTTGTTTTCATGTCCCCTCTGCTCTGCAGCCTTTCTGGAGCAGAGTAGGCTCTCTAGGGTACAAAGGTACATCTAATTTGCAGCAGCTGACATAAAGAATTAGTTGTCTGATACTGAATTTAGGTTTCTCAACTGCTAACATTCAGCATTTTAAGTTACTGCTGAAAAAATCTGTTACTCCTAAAAGTCAGGAAGCAGCCCAGGAAGCTAGAGCAAGCTGAATGACAACAAACAGTGCTAACTGGGAAAGATCAGAAGATGAAACATGAAAAGGGGCAAAGCACTAAGTGTCAGGATGAAGGCAGAGGAGGGTGGGACAGAGGAATTCGAGATTCAGGACAGCTCTATCAGCTGCATCAGTTGGAATAGAGGATTCAGCTAAGAAGTTAGCAGGGCTGCTGTTACACGAGGCAGAGTTGCGAAGAGCTTCTGGTCCTTCTGCTCCCTGCTCAGCTACCCTGGTCACACAGAATCACAGAATCACCCGGGTTGGAAGGGACCTCAAGGATCATGTAGTTCCAACCCCCCTGCCTAGCAGGGCCACCAAACACACACATTCAGATCAGGTTGCCCAGGACCCCGTCCAACCTGGCCTTAAACACATCCAAGGACGGGGCATCCACAACCTCCCTGGGCAGCCCGTTCCAGGGCCTAACCACTCTCCTTGTAAAGAACTTCCCCCTAACATCCAACCTAAATCTTCCCTCCTTCAACTTGGATCCATTTCCCCTAGTCCTGCTGTTGTCAGCCCTTTTGAAGAGTTTACTCCCCTCCTGGGTGTAGGTTCCCTTCAGGTATTGATAGGCTGCAATGAGGTCACCCCGCAGCCTTCTCTTCTCCAGGCTGAACAAGCCCAACTCCCTCAGCCTGTCCTCATAGGGGAGGTGCTCCAGCCCCCTGATCATCTTAGTCGCCCTCCTCTGGACCCTTTCCAAAATCTCAATGTCTTTCTTGTACTGAGGGCTCCACACCTGGACACAGTACTCCAGATGGGGCCACACAAGAGCCGAGTAGAGAGGGACAATCACCTCCCTGTCCCTGCTGACCACCCCTCTCCTGATGGAGCCCAGGATCCCATTTTGTCAATTTGTACAGCCAAACAGCTGAGAAATATTTGGCCAACTGATTGTAATGCAAATGAAGTTAAAAATCAGCGCATTGTGTATCTATTATTCTATATATCTGATACTCTTTTCATAGATGGTCTTCAAAAAATGCACGAAAAGTGTTTTGCAAGCTTTTCTTTAAATTGTCTTATCATTTTACATTCATATGAATGGAGCAGAACAATCTTGAGTAAGTATGAGGTTAAAGGTAGACACTTCGATCTAATGAAAATATAACCTGCTACACAATATTTAATAGAAATAACAGTTTCTTATCTATCCATGTATCTACTTGTCTTACTTCTTTGTATGTTGCCTCTTCTGGCCCAAGCGATGTATAGATGTTCAGATCAGAAAGCCATTTGGATTTCCCTGGTTTCTTAGTATATCACATTCAGTAGATTAAGGTGATGAAGAAGTTTTGTGACAGTGAAACATATTTTTACTACATTAAGTAGTTAATCAGTTACTACAATATTCTTTAAAACAAGGATTCAATTCAATGTTGACAGTAATTAAAACCTCAAACACAGGAGACTGGCTAAAAATCCAACTGAACTTTTTCCTGGAAGACTATATAAGAAATTTTCAGAAAGCATTACTTCTTTGAAGTACAGATGCTTTTTCCTACTTAACATCATTCCTAGATCAATAACATCTTTAACCAAAAGCAAACAGTTAGAAAAAAAAAAAAAAAACCATGCAGAAAAAAAACCTTACCATTTTTGTGCATTTTCCAAACTGCTCTCTTCTTTTTTACGTTCTTCTTTAGCTGTCAGTGAGAAACATTTCAAACATATAAATTACTGCCTTAATGTTTTAGAGATCCCACAGATTCAGCATTCCTTCCATTCAAAATTAGATAGGTTGTATGCTAGATACAATAGAAGTAATAAGCATTTACTAATTTTCATTTTTTGTTTATTTTTTATACCTAAATCTATACTCTTAATATAATAAGAAAGTGTACTGGATTTCAAAAGTAATTTAAAATCTGATACCATAATACATAGAAGCATATATTAATCAAAATAAAAGCAAATAATTAAACTTGACATTCAGATTTTAAAAAAAGAGAGCACTAAGTTGTGCATATTCCTTTATTGTTGCAGAACTTATAATTTTAAACCAATTTCTGCAGTGCAAATAATTGGAAGTTGCTGAACAGGTAACAAACCCAGTTAACACCAACTGTTCCATATAGCTATCACATTTTGTTCAGGAAACTGGAAAGTGAAAACACATGTACTAAGTTTTAAATGTACAAGATTTTTTGAAAAAGCAGCCAAGAGTCTGAAATATGGTCACCGAATCTGAACCTTTCTGTTACAGAGTACTCAGACAAACTACTTACAGGGATTTGATTTTTCAAAGGATGGGATTTCTCTGCTTTTCAATCTTTTCCTCAAGCAAAAGCCCTAGTTCTGTTTGAAAAATGCTGATAAATTCTTCTTAATTCCATATACAGTATAGCCAACTTAGCTGCAGCAGAATACTACGCATATAAAAAAAACATTACTATAGGGGAAGACTTATTTGTATTCCACAACAAAATAAATTCAGAATTCAGACACTGTAATGATACAAAGATAAAGAACTGCTCTCTCTTTAGGAGTGCACATATTGATGAAATGTAGTTACAGTTATAATCTTGATTTCAGACAAGGCCATCAAGAAATGCATGCAGAATGACCCCATTTCATGACTACGATACTTACACAGAGATTTGTATTAAACTAAAATCACTTAAGAACTGGTTTACTTCAAAACACTGCTGAACATTGGCAAAACTAAGTAATTTCTATTCATGTGTTGGGCAAATATGTTGGAGATACTAATTCAGATTATATAATTATGGCAAAAGCAAAAAACAGCGTTCTGTGTCCTGTGCAAAGAAAACAAGGAATTCTATATATACATTTAATAGGACAAGGGAAAACAGTTTCAAACTAAAAGAGAGTCGTTTTATGTTAGATATAAAGTTTCCCCAACAGGAGTGGTGAGACACTGGCACGGGTTGCCCAAGCAGGTGGTGGAAGTCTTGTCCTTTGGAGATATTCAAGGTCAGGCTGGACAGGGCTCTGAGCTGCCTTATCTAGCTGTGGGTGTCCCTGATCATTGCAGGGCAGCTGGAGTAGATGACCTGTAAGGGTTTCTTCCAACTAAAATGATTCTAAAATTCTAGGCCATTACTTCTCTACCTCAAATCTTACTGGTAAGACAGCTACCACTGAAAAATAGAACAACTCTGATTTACTGTGTTTGTTTCAGGCTAAAGTTCATCTAATATACTTAGTTTGCTATTTCCACTGCTCTGACATTTTTTATCATTAAAATTGGGAAAGATAAGCAGTAATTTTGATAGTTTATAATTATACAGATTAACTACACATAGGAAAATCGAAACAGTTAAAAGCTAAACTGTGTATAAAATTGAACAGTGCATGATAATATTTATAGTTCAGTGTAAGAACTGAGCTACTGGCTTTTAATCTCGTAAGAACACATTAAGGAAAGATGCAAGTAAAAAACTTAGAGAAAGCAGAAAAAAAAGATGCGACTCCTAGGAAAGAACATGCAGAGTTTACATTATTATGACAGTGTGTTTGTTTGTGTACCAATACAAGGGAAAAGAGGAAGCAAGAAAGTAGCTATTATGTGTATGATAGTGTTTTTCATACCTTTAACTATAACCACGTCTGTTCAAGCCAGGGTCAGGGAAGAATTTCTGTATCTTTTTACAAGCAAGGATTTGAAAGGAAAACACTCATTTAAAAAAATATGCTGTTGTAATCTGCTGTAGGGATATTTTTTTTGTAATGCAGCTATAGGCTCTGGACACCAACCACTGGTCTTACTCATTCTGCTATCTGTATCTCATGCTGAGGATGAAAAAGCAACGCTAGCTTGAGAAATTACCAGAAAATATTATTCACCTAATGGATACACAGCAGCTCCAAGCTACAACAGGACCAAGATCATGTATCGAGGTACTAGGAAATAGTTCCCAAAAGAACAAAGGGAAGTCAACACTGGATAGTGTCAAAGACTGCATGCTGGAGAAAGCAAATAACCAACAGTCAAAAGAAGAAGGATGAGACAACTTGCTCTAAGAGTTCAGGACAAAGAAAGAAAAATGGGTGCACAGGTAACAGTTACATCTGCCCTGCTAGTCCCACCACCCTGCATGGAAAATCTGCATTTGTCAAGTATACAAATCCATCTAAGTAGAATAATTCACCCAAGTCTACTGATCTAGTTGTGCTTATTACAGATTTATCTTTTTTCCAGTATCTTATTATTTTCGGAATTGAAAGATCTCATGTGTATCATTTTATCGCTTCTATAAACACTCCAGGGCAAAGAGAAATCTTCAAAATTATGAGAATGCTCAGAAAGTTAGCAGTTGGGGTACAGAAATCAAAACTCTGATTTATATTTCAGGACTGAATTCATGTGGGTCACAAAGCTTATGCTTCATAGACATTTAAAGACTAGCTAGTTAGAGGGTTTCTTTGGGGGAGGGAATAGAATGGAGGGGAGAACACCCTAAAACAAGGCTTTTTTTCTTTCTTTTTTTTTTTTCCCTCAAGGAAGAAAGTAAGTCTTTTCTGACTCACCAAACTAAACTAAACCAAACCAAACCAAACCAAACCAAACCCAAGTGATATGTCTCTCTGAACTTACAGAGGGTTGAGATGTATCCTCAGAAAGGCTCAGATATATATATATATTTTTTTTCCTGAAGAGCTAAATCTCACATTCTGTGGCATTTCTGAGGTTAAGGAGAACAAGCCACTATGGTCATTGTCTTGACCTTTTTGAAGACATACCACCATTTGTAACAGATCAAAATCTCTTAGAAATTATGTATTGCAGCTATATCTGAATATCAGAAAGACAGAATCACCAAGGTTGGAAAAAACCTCCAAGATCATCTAGCCCAACTGTCCACCTATCACCAATATTTCCACAGTAAACCACGCTCCTTAGTACAACATCTAAAGCTAAAGTCAGAAAGCTCTGTAGTTAAAAGTACGCTAAATATGTATATCTCCACGTTCAAGTACAATTAACATAAATAATAAACTTATCAACTGTATTTAATCAGACAATGTGCAGGGTGGAAAAAAAAAGTCAAACAAGGCCTTCTAGATGGTAAAACAGACTAGAGAGGATCATTATAATCAATACACATGTTTTGTCTTTATAAAAATTTCTGAATACGCTTAAAATCCTAGACACCATAGTAATATAAAAAAACAGGAGGACCAACAGCAGGGTGAATTTAGCCTCCCTTGGTTTTGCTTTCAGTACAACTATTACCAGTGAAAACTTCCAAATAGACTTCATTTTTAAGAAATCCCTTACTCAGGACATCCACTGTTTGTAAACTCAAGGGAAAAGGAGACCTTTTAAAAAACATTCTTTTATCCAACTATTCAGTATTCACAGGAGGGAATCAAGTAAAGACATTTTCAATGTTTATTCCTTGTTCATAGGAATATGAAAACAATGACTGGACTACAAGCAGAAAGAAAACTTCAGAGGGGGTGCATTTGATGGTATATGGCAGTTCTGGGAGCTTAAGAACAATCTGATGAAGGACTCCCCTCAGGACTGTTATTTTAGAGTCGGGATGGGTTGACCCTGGCCAGCAGCTAAGCACCACACAGTCACTCACTCACTGTTCTCCAACAGTGGCATGAGGAAGCTAATAGGAAAGGGCAAAAGAAAGGAAAAAAAAGCACAAGCAATGCAAAAGTAAGCAGTCACAACTATACAAGCAGACTGAAGCTCACCCAGTTTTGATGCAATGACTACCTACTACAAATTCCCTTCAATTCCATTTTGAGTGCTGAGCCTGACATTATGTGCATGGAATATCTTGTTGGTCAGTTTGGGCCAGCAGTCCAGGTTCTGTCCACTTCTAACTACCTGCCCACTCTGGCCTAGTTGCTGCCTGGGGACAGAGTGGAGAAGAAAACCAAAGCCTTGATAGTGTGAAAGTACTGCACAGCAACAACCAAAACATTGGTTTGTTATCAATATTGTTTTAGCCACAAATTCTAAACACAGCGCCATATGGGTGTCTATGAAGAACATTAAGTTTCATCCCAGCCAGATCCAGTAAAAGAGCACATAACCACATAGAAAAATCACTACGGATGGATTCTAAGATTTAGCTGAATTGGATACGTTTATTATTTTTGTGCATATAATTTTGTGCATTATTTTTGTCAGGCTTATAATTTATAGTTTTGGTTCCAGTCACTAGATTTATTATGTCAAAGAATGTGTAGTTTTCAATGCAGTACAAGATTTTATTGATTGGATGAACCACATGCAAGAGGGTAACAACTCACGCAACTGTTAGTAAATATCATTAACCTGCATATAATTTTTTTATTATTAATGTTATTTTACTGGCTAGAAAAAGAAAGGACCCTGCATAAATATGCAGTAATTGCATGTAATTGCAAATGAATTATAAAGAACGATTTGTATGTTGTATATAACATGAGAAAATACTTTTCACTACAGAACTCTGCCAGAATTCAGTTTCTTGGCACGTAAATTTTAAAGGAATGGAAATCAAATTAATAGAATTTTTCAAACAACAAATGCCAAGTGCAAATCAAAAAGCATTCATGAAAATACATATAAATACAAGAGAATTTAAAATCAGAAAAATGAGGGAAAGCCATAATATTTACTGCATTTTGAAAGCGTGGCTAGACTGCTAAAGAGTAAGTATGGTATTGAGTATAA